ATTCGACAATGATCATGATGACATGAAGTCGTCGAAACGTCGTGTTATGTTTTCTATCGTTCATTGGTCTTTTTAAATAAAATGATTTACGCTTTTATTTACGTATAGTGTTTATTTATTCATGTATTTATTTTCAAAGAAACACTTGACGCACAAATTGTTCTTTATATTTTCCTGTTCTTCCGTTTTAATTTTCTCAGCAATTATTTTGAACTGTAGTAGTTTTCCTGTCCCCCGACAATGCATTTAGAGTTACTTTTTGGCAATTTCGTTATGCTAAAATTGATCACAAAACTCACTTTCTTTTTGTTGAGCAGGAGCTAAGAATAGAAGATTATGTAGCTGGACGTAAGAGGACAAGCACTGGAAGTCTGTTTGGAAATACACCTGGAACAGGATTTAACACTTCATCATCATTAACTGGACTACATCCAGCCACTGGATTTGGAACAGCAGGTTTGGAAATAATCTACCTCATCATTAATCTATCCTGCTTTGATATGAACTAGCCATTTCTTCCAGAATGATGTTAGCCAGGGGCGGATCTAGGGNGCCTTCTTCTTGTTCGTATTCGCTTTTAGAATTTGTTTACCTCATCAATCTGTTACGCCACTCCTTAGTGGTGCACCCCTCCTAAGAAAAATCCAGGTTCTGCCCTTGTTAGCTCTTTTATTTTGCATTCTCAAACATATTTATTATTTATCAAGTTTAAACAAAGTAAATCATTACGATGACTGTTTAACAATTAGACCCGTAGCCCTTGAGGCGAAGCCGAATGGGCTATTGACCCGTGGCCCTTGAGGGCGAAGGGTCTAATTGTTTTAGTATCACCCAACTAGTCGGACAGAAAAGGNATAAAACGAAAGAAAGCGTCACGCTCGATTGCGCCAATTTCGCTACTCGAGGACTATTACTAATAGTCCTTTAGTAGCGTAGCCAATCAAATTCAGGATTTGCATCAGTCCACTAGCTGGGTGATACTAATTAGGGATATCTGATCTAAGTTAGCATAGATGTTACGATTTTATTTCTCCGCTCTTTCTTCAGTTTTAGTTTCGATTGACAAGATATATGAAACACTTAACACAGTGTTTGACCACATTTCCAAACACCGCAACGTTCGTCAAAAATATTACCCGACGCGTCCTATTGTAAACTCTTTCTTTTGGAAATGTGGTCAAAAACAGTCTTTCGTGCCTTATGTATTCTCTCAAGTTTTTGTTGCTATTGATCTTTGTAAACATCACACTCAGAATTCTTTGTTGATTGTAATGCTATAGTAATTTGTCCTTGAGCAGCACTTTCTTCTCTGCTTTGTCAGGAAGCTTGTTTGGCAGTAGTTCTACGACAGCTGGACTGTTTGGCCAGCAGCAAACAACAGGAGGACTTGGTCAGAATGCTGGCAGCCTGTTTGGTACTCCAACATTATCTACAACTGGGACCGAATTTGGATCAACAAGTATACTTGGGCAAAACAGCAGTGGACAGACGGTATATGATCGCTGTTCCTTACTTCACATTTATTGAATTTCTGCGGAGCTCCTGGGTCGGGTTCCTCAAAGCATAATTAAGCTAACCGGGCAATTTTGATTTGAGTTTTGTAAATTTGCGGTGAGGTTTTCTGGTTGTATTGTTTGGCCCTCCCTTTTGGGTTTGAATAACCTCAAACTACACAAAGCATAAGCAGTCAAAAACATTTTTATGCAAGAAAAATTTATACCTCGGTTAAGTTTAATTTTGGGCTAGCGTTAACCGGCTTCCGAAAAACACGGGTCTGATTACAACAAGTGAACCTCGCTTCAGCCTGCTATCCAAAAACAACTCAGTACTTGGTCAGCGGTCAATTTAAAAAAACGCGTGACGTCGATGAGCTCTTAACTTGAGCCCGCGATAGGATTACGTGATACTGGTCAGTGGATACCTAATTTTGACAGGTGTCATTTAACCATAACATGGATGTCCAATATCAAAGATGTACGTTGTAAACCAAGGTTGTATGACTTGGTATTAGCTGGAATATGGTCATGCGCGATCCATGCCGCTATCCATTTTGTATTTCTATGCGTGCATGTGATCCTGTTTCTATAGTTATGGTCCTCCGCTTTGCGCCGGAGCTCCGCTATATATGTCTTAGTACAATTCATGTTAGCATTTATAACAAAACTTGCTTGCTTTTTTAAAAACAGGAGTTACCAAAGGACGATAGTCAAGCTGAATGCAAGAACGAAGCTATCGGTTCAACTGGTTTTACCTGCACAGGCACAGAAGGTTTGTTTGGAAATAAATCCGGGAAAGGATTTGGCACTTCATCGTTATTTGGACAACAACCAACAACTGGATTTGGAACAACAAGTGTTGAAAGATTTATTGCCTGAATCATGGCTGGATTTGAACTAGCTGCTTATTCTTGTATTATCTTAGCTGAAGTCCTAGTGCAGTCACAAATGTAATAGACATCAATTTTGCCACTCCATAGAAATATCAAAAAGAAATGTATCGTTCAATATTGTAACACATTCATCTTATTTTGCCACTGTCTTAATTTTTTAAGGATGTTTTGAGATTGAAGATACCAATATCAATATGTAACTGTTTATGAATTGCTTGCTATTGGCGTCAAGTTTGAGACAGATTTCAGTATAGTTGCCACAATGGTGTCAGTGATTTCTTTGTACGCTCTCCGGGATAAGCTACGTGGTCTTTGTAAACACTACACTTAAAAGCGTTTGATGATTGTAATGCTGCAGTCATACCTGTAATTTGTGCTTGATCAGCACTTCTTTACTGCTTTGTCAGGAAGCTCGTTTGGCAGTAACTCGTCGACAGCTGGACTGTTTGGCCAGCAGCAAACAACAGGAGGACTTGGTCAGAAGCCAGGTGTCCTCTTCAATGCGACATCAAGTGCAAATGGGACTGGAATTAAACTTGGTACAACGACGAGTAGCACCAGTGGCCTGACGGTATGGTCACTTTTACTTGTTTTAGTGAATACGAACGGAGGTATGTATAAGTTTCTAGCCACAGAAGACAATCTTTGATAGCTGAAGTAGGTGGTCATAATTTCTAGCTGGCCTCGTCTGTGTTTCAGTTGCAGCTACAGGGCTGCTGCACATAAGTTTAATAGTCTTAGGCTGTCTTTTAAGGAAAGCACAGCATGATTGAGTCTTAGCAAGTGAAAAACAAAACAAATTTAGAGTTTGGCATTTACGTATTTACGTAACAGCTTTGTGCGGATTGTGTATTGCTTGTGAGGTGGTTGATTTGTCTCGCGTTTAGACTGGTTTGTCTGTTGCAACAACTACATCAGCTGGGTTAAGTTTACCTGAGACTAAAAGTACAGGCTTTGACTGCGGACAAACCCAGGCTGATACTGGCGAACTGCTTGGGCAGACAGGATTAAGATTGGGTCAACAACAGGTGGGAGGTCTACACCTTATACAGCATGATAAACAGTCAATAGTTTTGTTGTTTTTTTTTTTAGGATGATCCACCTTCGTTATCTCTTGGGTATGAAAATACTTCAGTTAGTGTAAATATGTTTAATTCTGCATTTTGATTTATAGCTCTGAGTTTGAGCTATAAAAATACTTCCAGTTGACATAAACATTTATAACTTTAAAGTTTNCACCATGCACCACCGGCTAATGAAATTGCTGCTCATTTGTCTGACTGATCGCAGAGAAGGGTTTCATAGGGACTCGCACATAATGATAATGATAACAAACAAATGGATACAAATAGTACTATGTATTGCTACTTTGACTAGTAGTATTCGCTATAACAAAAGACGTTATAAAAGTCATATCAGTATAATTGCTTTTTTCCCTTTGTTTTTTTAGAATGATCCACCTTCGTTATCTCCTGGGTATGAAAATACTTCAGTTAGTGTAAATATGTTTAATTCTGCATTTTGATTTATAGCTCTGAGTTTGAGCTATAAAAATACTTCCAGTTGACATAAACATTTATAACTTTAAAGTTTGATTTGTAGCTCTTTGATTCAATCTCTTGTTCAGTGGTAATTTGATCCGCAGGTTCTCACTCAGTGAAGCTATGAGTGAAGGAATGGAAGAACTGAGAAAAGAAAATGAGTCCTTGAGAAAGGTTATCAAGATGTACAAAGTACGTTCTTTGTAAAAGTATCATTTGCATATTTTGGGGTTGTTACTAGCTGTGTGATTATTACATGATATCTTGTTCACATTTTTCCTATTAATTTTCCAAAAGGAAAACGAGAAAGCTATGGAAGAGTTACGGAGATTTTATTCTGCCCAAGCAATTAAACACAAGGAAAATATGGAGCAGGCTGTCAGCCACAAGGTATCTGGGCTACGACAAACTTCGTTTGAATGCAGTGACGGATGTTATAAAGGTCATTAATTTGAGATGTCCAGTAGGGATTGTCAGGCATTTTTCTTTCTTTGAAGTTGTGTTACATGTTCATGGAGTGCTTGATAACACTGGACTAAAGATTTATCCTGTGATGCTCAGTTTATTATATTTCTACATTGTAACAAAACTAGAGTTGATGCCTTCAAATTTAGCAAACTTTTTTGCGCAGCAAGTTCAGCTGCTTGATACTTTAAACTTGTTAAACTTTATTTACGCGGAATATGTGGATATATACAGCCTGTTCTATATAATACACTCAGAGGGTTAGAGGATACTCTTGTTAAAATATTTCTACTACAGTTAGGAAAGCAGAAATCCTCTGTTAAAATAATAGAGTATTAATAAATATTATTATTATTATTATCATTATTATTATTATCGTTATTATTATCATTATTATTATTATCGTTATTATTATCATTATTATTATTATTAAAATCTATTTTGAGCATATTTTCTGAACGCAGCTTGTCTCCATTGAAATTTCAGACGTTTATTCAGTGAACATCTTTAACAAACTGATGGACGGTTCTTTTACATACCTTGTATATGCTTGTAACAGAGTTTTTTGAGTTACAATTACATTTGCGATATCGATCTGTTTGCAGTTCTTGGAATTAGTGAGCAAAGTCAGGGATCTTAAAAAAATAAGGTAAGGTTAACAGTGCATTCGGCAAGTATATTTTACACGTAACAGTAGCGGGTAACAGGTAGGAGGTAAAGGATAGGTACCTTTTTTTAGGAAATGGAGTATTACAATTACCATTACTGAGAGCTAACTCTAACCTAGCCAGCTGTGGTGTTGTTCAGCCTAACTAGAGTACCCCTCGGGTTAATTAATCAAGTGTCTTGTTAAATCAAAATTTCTTCGTTTGTACGATATTGCCTTGAAACAGTGTCAATGGTTGTTTTGTCTTGGTAAACACTTATTATGCTTGTGGCATACTCACAGAGACACCACTCCTGGAGATGGAAAGACTTCTGTGGTGATCAGAGAAGCAATTGACTTGACAAGAAATAATAGGATTGATTTGGAGTCATTGGAATCCTTGGATCAGGTACGAAAAAAAAAAAAACTTGTGTAATAACAGAAATTTAAGCTTTCGGCTCAAACATTATTTATTGTATCAGCGTGATACTGGGAAATAGCCAGGTTCAAAAGGTTTCTCCTGCTATCCCAACTGTCATTTATCAGGGTTAAAGAGCCATTTTCATCTGTGATGCATTGCGCACCTCGATCACCTTACCTGTGTTTCATGACACACAACTGAAATTAGTGATTAGTAACTTTTTCTCAAAACACTAATTGTTACTTATTCATTTTGTAGAGAGAAAAGTTGTTTAGAAGGTTTTAAAGGTACACCCGATTACAGGGAGTTCCAATTGACAAACACCACACATAAACTGTTTGAGGAGCGTCACGCTCTGCTCTTTAAAATTGGAACCATCTTGAGAATCTTGAGCGAGCAAGGTTGCTAGAAGTTTAACATTGAATGGGGATAGAGATGAGAGGGAAAAAAATGCTAATCTTTGCTGGAGGTTGTTTATGTATGTCTCTTAACACTTTTGCCGCCAACTTTGTTTCATATGCAGTCCATGTTTAGTTTTCTTTTCGATCGATTCCTGGTGACTACTAACAGGGGTCCTTGCAGGGCTTATTTGTGCGTGGACCCCAGAATCGGATTCCCACGCAACAATAACAGAGTAACAGAAATGATGTTTTAGTGCTCTCCTCGTATCATTCACTCAACAAATTATTCAGATGCAGAAGGACTGGGCAAAGTCCCTGGTTACTACTACTGTCATTGTGGGATGCTTTCGTCCTGGACGATGTAAACATAGACTGTTCACAGCCTCTATTTTTCAACGCACGCGAAAGAAAAAGCGAGCGAAACGAGCGCGAGGCACGCGGGGGTGGGGACGGGAGGCGTGCGAAGCGAGCCAAACGAAGGGTTTTTCTTGGTCCCTACTCCCTACCCCATAGAGTCTCCAGTTCTGCGCTGGCGTCCAGCTCTCGCGATTCTATCCGCGCGTTCAACGATGGAATAAAAATACGACAAAATAGAGGCTATGAACAGTCTATGTATACAAAGTTAAGTTTTCAGCATATGTGCCGTCAGGAAACACGGGTAGAAGGATTTCACGAGTCGGAGCTCATGATACAATGAAAATAATAATTGGAAAATACTGAACACGAAATAAAAAAAATGAACAACTAGATGACTGGTGGTATGAGCAGAAATTACTTTGACACAAGACTCTGATGTACTAAGGTCAGGCCATTTTAACACCACTAACCTAAAATTGTATTACTTCCCTTTCAGTCAATTGATATCACCCTTAGTTTTGACTTGAAATTTGACTTGAAATTTGAATTTCACCCTCCACTGTAATATATGGCATTTGAAATTGACAAAACTTAAAGCACCCTAAAGAAAGCAATTATTTAGTATTTTCGTTGTAGTGATGAATGGAAAGCTATATCATCGGCCTTTTTACTTTGTTATTTCACACGATGAGGCGAGTGCCATTCTTGTTTTTCTTACTCTCACAAGCAATTCTTTACATTGAATGACCAGCGCTTACACGCTTACATGTATTATGATCAACAGGAAGACTATTTGACCAATCAGAGCGAAAGTTCAAAAATAGTGGCCTTTTCAGAACAAAAATATGCCTGTTGAAAATGGGCTTTTAACTCTGTAATTAGAAAAAACATTGATGTGGTAGTTGGGAAATTGGAACATGATATGTTGGAAACCATACGGTCTTGGCACTGGCAGTTCTCACTAAATTTGTTTGTTATATTTAGGTACAAGAGTGTGAGAGTGCTCTTCAACAAGCTCAGGAGTGCTTGCGTCAGTGCGCAGACAAGGTAATGTTGTGCATGTCGTACAGATATACTCAGTTTAGCCACGCAAATGTATCTCAAAAGTACAGAAATACTCCAGGGAAACTTCTATCAAGAGAACCCTAGATAAAGTGGACACCATTCCTTAAACGGACACCTGATCCCCCGAGATTAGCGTCATATCTACCTAAAGTTTATTTCGAACCCGTGTTCGGTGGGCGCCTACATTAGGTGGACATGGACACTGAAATGAAGAAACTTAACATTGAAACAGCGGCGTGGAGGCGGATGAAATCGATCACGACAAAGGGCAAAGCATGTGTACAAATTCCAACAGGGGGCCTTATAAAAGATTTTACAATGCAGCGTTTAGTGGAATACGGCATTGAAAAGTAGTAAGTCCATACAGTTGAAAGAGCAGATTTCAAACAACAAATTAATTTGGATTGCTTTGTTGTAGGAGGAGTTGTTGGCAGCTGGCATTGTTGCTCAGAGAGACAAGGCAAGGAAAGAGTTCTTTGACTCGATAGATTTGTTTTGCCAGGAAGTGGATTTGATACCTCTTCAAGAGCGAGAAACATCATTACAGGTATTGAAATTCTGTTGAACTAAATGAAGTAGTTTGTTTTCAATTTTTTGCCGCTGTTGTAAACCGTACCTAGCTTTAAGTTATGTTGCCGCTCAAGAGAAGTGTATAATGTGGTTACAAAATATTCTGTGCCCAATCTTGACAAAGATTTATAAGTAAAATTTGAGGGCAGAAAAGAGGGGTCAGTTGTATTTTTATGTATTTTACTAGACCCTCCCTCACTAAAAATAATTGACAACCATGCAATTCATGTCTGTTAAGAGGAGACCATAAAAATGTTAGAACCTTGGATATTTTTTTAATACACGGTTTTAGAGTCTTCTCACTTCTAAATGAAATGAATTTGTTCTCAATTTATCTGTGAAGAGTTTTTACAAGACGACACTGGCATAGCTCTTTACGTTTTTCCAATGAAAGTGTATCAGTCTTGTTCTTCTCTTTCAGCATGCACTTAGCCAGCTTCAAGAACAAGAAGGTACTTACTGATACATGATTTGATGACAGCACAGTAAATCCCCTTATTAATATGACCTCCCCGTCATTACACCCCCTCTATCAGTAGGCCTAAAAAAAGTTTCTATCAGATAATTACTATGCTCCCCCTAGCTTGTTAATACAGTAAAAAACCCGCGTGTAAGGACCTACATTTTTGGAAGTCTGGCAAAATAGATTCTTGTATTTTGGGGTAGTTATTGACAATTTAAGCTAGGTAGATTCTTAATTAGGTTCATAATTTCTATGAAAGACATATAATTGTTGATTACCAGAAAAATAAATAAATAAACTTGTGTTTGTCCCTTAGATTTACAGTATTTTTTTGTAATATAAATTTGCAATTTCAAAGTCACACTCCTTGGTTAAAATGTTTATCATAATTTAGCTGTGGTCCACATATAATAACCTGCTCGATCTTGGTTGGCTAAGCAGGTTCTTATATTTTGTCTATTAAGTGGCAAATTTCTGCCAACATGTTCTTAAACCACTATGGGGTTTTAATGGCCTAATAGTGA